CACGTTTGGTGTTTGCCAAAAGGCATGTGGGAGACTCCCCAAACATATGGAAGAAGGTACTCTGGTCAGATGAAACAAAAATGGAGCTTTTTGGCCATCAAGGAAAACGCTATGTCTGGTGTAAACCCAACACCTCTCATCACCCCGAGAACACCATACCCACAGTGAAGCATGGTGGTGGCAGCATCACGCTGTGGGGATGTTTTTTATCGGCAGGGACTGGGAAACTAGTCAGAATTGAAGGAATGATGGATGGCGCTAAATACAGGGAAATTCTTGAGGGAAACCTGTTTCAGTCTTTCAGAGATTTGAGACTGGGACGGAGGTTCACCTTCCAGCAGGACAATAACCCTAAGCATACTGCTAAAGCAACACTTGAGTGGTTTAAGTTTTAAATGTTTTGGAATGGCCTAGTCAAAGCCCAGACCTCAATCCAATTGAGAAGCTGTGGTATGACTTAAAGATAGCTGTACACCAGTGGAACCCATCCAACTTTAAGGAGCTGGAGGAGTTTTGCCTTGATGAATGGGCAAAAATCCCAGTGGCCCCTTATAGGGATTATATATTTTGCATCTTCAAAGTGGTAGGCATGTTGTGTAAATCAAATTATACAAACCCCCCAAAAATCTATTTTAATTCCAGGTTGTAAGGCAACAGAATTGGAAAAATGCCAAGGGGGGTGAATACTTTCGTAAGCCACTGTATGTCGGATAAGGCCTTAGGTGTTGTTTTAGATTTCAGTTGTTTTTCTCCCTCGTGTTTTTGACCTCCGTCCTTCGCTTATCCCTCTATCCCTCTTTCATTTCCTTCAGCCAGCCTGCTCCCCAACCTCCACCTTCAACTCCCCACCCCTCTCAGATCTCACACTATCTCTCCTCCAGCCCCCTCCGTCCTTCCCTCCCTCTCTCTCATCACCAACGCCCACATCTGTCCTCTCTCATTTCAGACAGGCAGTGAGGAGGCCTGGCCCTGCCTCCTCGCTGAGAGGCAGAAGGGTCTTTCCTTGTTATTCTGCTGGCAGTAAGCGTGTGATGTCCTCACCGTATGTCATCCCTCGAAGGCTGGCTCATTTCAATTCATCTCCTTTCCCAATAGTATATTTCCTCTCAACTGTTGAGGAATAGTGAGCTCAGTCAGCATCATCACCCTTCCCAAAAAACCAAAGGATTGCTTCAGGCCTGGAAGGTTTTCCGCTGGGGTGAGCACAGCAGTGGACATTTCAGAATTGTGTGTGTCGTCTTGCCCTGAGGAGGAAGATGATGACTCCCAGCCTGATGTCTGTCTGATTATTTCCTCACACCCTGCTAACAGCGGCCCCAGATAGCCCCATATTGTATACTAGAATGCACGCATACACACATACCTCGTCACTTTTTTTAAACAATAAGTAGGTCACAACACAAATGTTTGAAAAAGTGACTTGGACTTTTTCTACAGTTTCAGTTTAGGTTTTACAATGCTCTAGCCACAAATGACTGCTAGCTTTTGTATAGAGTCATACCTTCGCTGACATCACCACTGTATTGTATCACTAGAATTAAGTTTATAGTACATTTTTAACCAGGGTTTCTGTTTGAAGACATGGGTTAGGCTAATCTGAAAGTGTGCAGATAACCACATGTTATTGTGGTTGTTGTGGTGACTGGAGCAGACCTGAGTAATGGGCATTAGTCAAATAAACAGGAGGGGGATATAGTCAGTCAGGAGGAACTTTGTGGAGTAAAGTGGAATGTTTACTGTCTCAGACGCCCTCGTAAGAAAACCTAAAGCAAAGGATCTTTAAGTTGCGTAAATAACGGAGAGCTGAAAGTCCTGCTGCCATATTTATATATGTGGTAGTTGTGATGCAAGTTGTTTTGACACTGTTTTTGGGCTGGTTGTGTTGTGTCCGACCCCAGCTGAGGCTGCGCTGCGGTGGGTTATTTTTACCATGGCCGGGGACCAGGTAGCTCTGACTGTGAACTAGGTTGTTGTTAGAAAGGGGTCATCCCAACAGGCATGTGCTGTAGGCAACTGGGAGAGAGAGAAAGACACTCTGTGGTGTGGTGGTTTCTCTGGACCTCTGTGTCAGGCCAAACAGCTGGATTTCTCATCTGCAAAACTCTAGCCTTGTCCAGTCCAGCCCCAGTCCCAGCCTACCCCCATCCCAGCTCAGACCAGGCCTATACCCCTGCCCAGTCCAGCCTAGCTTTCCTCAAGCCAGCTCAGCTCAGTGAGAAGCAGGAATGTGGTTGTCCTTTGTGTGCTGATGGCCCTAGCAATGGCCCCATGTATTGTGACTATTTTAGGCTTTTTGTGGGGTGGTACGTTATACTTTTTGTGCCCTCTTTCAGGCCCCTCACTTTAATGCTGCTGATCCAATACACACTTAAGCTCCTCCATCCATTGGACTCTCTCATATAACATAGGGCAACAGACACACTGTAGTAGTAAACTAACAGACCTGTAAAAAGTAGCAGTAGCAGAAATAGTAATAGTTACAACAGAACAGATGACAGCAGCTTCCTCTCCTCCTCATTCGCCAGTTCCTCCGTTCTGTGTTGCTCCCGCCCGTGGTGTGGTCAGGGTCGGGGTGCGTTTGATGCTCCCTCCCTCCACAGAGGGCACTGGCCGGCAGGCACCCATACATACAGAACCCTGAGGTTTCCCCTCCCGCCCAGCCCCAGCCCTTCCTGCCCATAATGTTTTGTGAGGCGTTAAGGCACAGACCGACCGGCTGACAACAACAAAAACAGGCAAACCATGCAGTCGAGAGCCTGGATCCCAGAGCCAGAAACCTCCAACCTCCCTCCTCAACGCTACCTCTCATTCTCTCCTCCTTCTCCATTTTTGGGTGTAGTGTTTTGTCCCCTCCCACCTCCCGTTTCCATTCTGTTGTTGTAAAAGGAGAGTAGAGTGCTGTGGTTGTTTGAGTTGGACCCAGCCAGCTCCTGTCTCTCCTGCTCGCCAAACACGCGGGACAGACACAGAGCTTTTATACTGCAGCCTCTCAAATCCCCTCACTTTTTTCTGCCTGTTTCGTCTGGGGTGTCTGTCTCCACGGTGGGCCGTGGAGGTGACTCCCAGCAGTGCTGCAGGGCCAGCTCCGGTTACCGTTACCGGAAGCCCAGCCTGGACTGGGACCCAGATCCTAGCCTATATCCCCCCAGCGTTACCTGAGAAACACAGCAAAGAGATATTCTGGCTCTGAGGCGATCCACTCTGCACTTTGGGAAGGCTGTTTCTAGCTACTGTTAGTTAGAAGAGCTGTATTGTTCCAATAGCAGGAGTGAGATCAGCTGTATGGCTGAGGGAGACACTACATCCCGAAAGGTTTAACACACCATACAACACTATGCACAAGTACTACGCTTAACAATTTGCACTGAACATTTTACAAAAACTAATTTAGTGGAAGAACTGTGCAGGTGCAAACTTTGGTAACGGAATGACAGTAAAACCTCCCTCACATTTTATGCGACCACGTAAAAAAAAAAAAACTCTGCTCCGAATGAAGATTCAAAGATAAAGAAAGAATGGGATGTCTGCTATGACATGGCACCTTGAGTTTGAAACTACAGTAAGTGAAGTGGATTTACACCCGGTAAAGGCATTATGGTAACGGAATTACATAATGGGCCCCTGATCTATACTACACAGAAATGCATAATTATGGATATGAATGTCATTCTCCTCATGTTTCACAAGTTTGGACATCACAGCGCAAGACAGCACTGCACAGTAGAGTACAGTGCATTGCAATACAGCGCAGCACAGCAGAGCAGAGTAGGGTAGAGTTCAGTACAGTGCAGTAGAGTACCGTAGAATACAGTACAGTAGCATTCAGTTAAGTATAGTACAGTAGAGTACAGTACTGCATTCTACTGTACTGTACTATACCCTTTACTGTACTACTGTATTGTATTGGACTGTGCTCTACTCACTGTACTGTATTGTGCTGTACTGCATTGTATTTTACTGTATTCTACTGCACTGTGCTATCCAAACTTGTGAAACATTCTTCTATGATAGGTTCAGATTTGGTCCAGTCCGGTCCACCTGTGGACGTTAACATCAAGGCCAGGGTGGACTAACCAAATTTCAATTACTTTTCGACGTCCGTGTAGGTCGGTGCTCAGTTGGTGAAGATGCTGGCTACAATAAATGGAAAGATAGGGGGCTCATGGATAGCTGTCAGTAAGAGCTGGGAGTGGTGACATTAACTGGAGAGTGAGAGAGAAAGCAAGAGAGTGGGGGAGGGGTTGTCCAGACATACTGTTTTAACACTCTTGGTTTGTCCACCAGACAACAGAAAGACAAAGAAAACAGTTATGAGCTGAACATAACAGTATGCCAGTGGAAGGGAGGACAGTAGCAGGTGACCCAACTGTGGTTTTTGGCTATTATGATTTCCCATTGTAGCCAATTCAGATGCAGTAATTCCGTTACAGATTTTTTTTATTGTTCCATTACAATTTGGTAATGGAATTATGAGTTTGAATCACTAAATAATTCATAAACAAACTTGGTATCAGTAAAATCACTATAACTAATTAATAGTTCTACCTTTACTTGTTACTTTTGTGAACTTTCATTATCCTCCCTCCTAATGAGCGAGAGAATATAGAAAATATCTTAAAGATATGTGTGTTTTTGGTAACGGAATTACAAGGCACAAGGCAGTATTTCTTAAACTTACAGAAGGCAAACAATTTCTCAAAAACGAAATCTAAGTGTTGATATTAGTTGGCAGCGTTCTTTACGTCAACATTATTGTGTTTTGATGTATTTCTAATACCTTTACTTTTTCGGATAGATGTTTTCTAAGCCCCCTTTTACATTTGTTTATCCAGAAATGAAAGCCTTTACTTATGCCAAATGTCTAAGATGGAAAATGGTTGAAAATGTTATCTATGCCTTCATTTCCCAAAAATGTAGACTCTTAGCTTTCATATGACACCCAATTTGGTATGCTCCTATGAACTTCAAATGTTGGTGCTCATGGGTCCTTTTCAGTGGAAATGCCCATATATAGTGTGCGACGCTCTTTCTTTTTACACAGTTTACTCTCCGTTAGTCAGCACCTCTACAAACATTTGGGTGTGAGTCAACTCATTTGGGGGGGATGCTTTTTATTCAGGGAGACCGGGTAATATATTTGATCCAGATGTTAGTAATATCTACAGTCCGAGCCGAGACAAGACTGAATTCAGACAGCCCCCTGTATTGAGTTTGAACTCTAACCATCATCCCTCTCTCTCGTTCTCTCTCTCTCCCTCCACAGTGTGTCCCTCCACCTGTAAGCATCGGGCCTGTACCCAGCATGGCCACTGCTGCCATGACCAGTGTCTGGGGGGCTGCTTGGAGGCAGGCAACGCCAGCAGCTGTGTGGCCTGCCAGAACCTCCAGCACCAGGACACCTGCGTAGACCGCTGTCCCCAGGGATACTACACCTTCAAGGGCTGGCGATGTGTCTCTCTCTCCTTCTGCCAGGACCTCCACAATCAGTGCAAGAATGGAAAGAGCAGCGACTGCCACGAGTACGTCATCCACAACAAAGCCTGCATCCCAGAGTGCCCCTCAGGATACACCACCATCAACTCTACCACGTAAGTCTTATATCTATAACTTGACAGCCATATACCACCATCAACTCTACCATGTAAGTCTTAGATCTATGACATGACAAGCCGTATACTAGGGGTTTAACGATTCACCAATACGCATCGGCCCCCTGTTCAAATGTTTAAGATATGAGTACATACAGTGGGGGAAAAAAGTATTTAGTCAGCCACCAAATGTGCAAGTTCTCCCACTTAAAAAGATGAGAGAGGCCTGTTATTTTCATCATAGGTACACGTCAACTATGACAGACAAAATGAGGGAAAAAAATCCAGAAAATCACATTGTAGGATTTTTAATGAATTTATTTGCAAATTATGGTGGAAAATAAGTATTTGGTCAATAACAAAAGTTTCTCAATACTTTGTTATATACCCTTTGTTGGCAATGACACAGGTCAAACGTTTTCTGTAAGTCTTCACAAGGTTTTCACACACTGTTGCTGGTATTTTGGCCCATTCCTCCATGCAGATCTCCTCTAGAGCAGTGATGTTTTGGGGCTGTCGCTGGGCAACATGGACTTTCAACTCCCTCCAAAGATTTTCTATGGGGTTGAGATCTGGAGACTGGCTAGGCCACTCCAGGACCTTGAAATGCTTCTTACGAAGCCACTCCTTCGTTGCCCGGGCGGTGTGTTTGGGATCATTGTCATGCTGATAGACCCAGCAATGTTTCACCTTCAATGCCCTTGCTGATGGAAGGAGGTTTTCACTCAAAATCTCACGATACATGGCCCCATTCATTCTTTCCTTTACACGGGTCAGTCGTCCTGGTCCCTTTGCAGAAAAACAGCCCCAAAGCATGATGTTTCCACCCCCATGCTTCACAGTAGGTATGGTGTTCTTTGGATGCAACTCAGCATTCTTTGTCCTCCAAACACGACGAGTTGAGTTTTTACCAAAAAGTTATATTTTGGTTTCATCTGACCATATGACATTCTCCCAATCCTCTTCTGGATCATCCAAATGCACTCTAGCAAACTTCAGACAGGCCTGGACATGTACTGGCTTAAGCAGGGGGACACGTCTGGCACTGCAGGATTTGAGTCCCTGGCGGCATAGTGTGTTACTAATGGTAGGCTTTGTTACTTTGGTCCCAGCTCTCTGCAGGTCATCCACTAGGTCCCCCCGTGTGGTTCTGGGATTTTTGCTCACCATTCTTGTGATCATTCTGACCCCACGGGGTGAGATCTTGCGTGGAGCCCCAGATCGAGGGAGATTATCAGTGGTCTTGTATGTCTTCCATTTCCTAATAATTGCTCCCACAGTTGATTTCTTCAAACCAAGCTGCTTACCTATTGCATATTCAGTCTTCCCAGCCTGGTGCAGGTCTACAATTTTGTTTCTGGTGTCCTTTGACAGCTCTTTGGTCTTGGCCATAGTGGAGTTTGGAGTGTGACTGTTTGAGGTTGTGGACAGGTGTCTTTTATACTGATAACAAGTTCAAACAGGTGCCATTAATACAGGTAACGAGTGGAGAACAGAGGAGCCTCTTAAAGAAGAAGTTACAGAGCCAGAAATCTTGCTTGTTTGTAGGTGAACAAATACTTATTTTCCACCATAATTTGCAAATAAATTCATAAAAAATCCTACAATGTGATTTTCTGGAGAGAAAAAAATCTTAATTTGTCTGTCATAGTTGACGTGTACCTATGATGAAAATTACAGGCCTCTCTCATCTTTTTAAGTGGGAGAACTTGTACAATTGGTGGCTGACTAAATACTTTTTTTCCCCACTGTAGGTCCGCGGGACTCCAAACCCATCCAAATGTAGCATGCATTGGTCAGGAAATTGATTCAAACATTATGAATTGCCAGTTCACTAAGTGTTTTTGCTCAATTTACTATAACTTCCCGGCCTCCCGAGTGGCGCAGCGGTCTAAGGCACTGCATCGCAGTGCTTGAGGCATCACTACAGACGCGGGTTTGATCCCAGGCTGTATCACAGCCGACCGTGACCGGGAGACCCATGAGGCGACGCACAATTTACCCAGTGTCGTCCGGGTCAGGGGAGGGTTTGGCCTGCTGGGATTTCCTTGTCCCATCGCGCTCTAGCGACTCCTTGTGGCGGGCCAGGCACCTGCAAGCTGACTCCGGCCGCCAGCTGGACGGAGTTTCCTCCAACACATTGGTGCGGCTGGCTAACGGGTTAAGCGAGCAGTGTGTCAAGAAGCAGTGCGGCTTGGCAGGGTCGTGTTTCGGAGGACGCATGGCTCTCGACCTTTGCCTCTCCCGAGTCCGTTGTGGAGTTGCAGCGATGGGACAAGACTGTAACTACCAATTGGATATCATGAAAAAGGGCAAAAAAATAATTGTACGAATAATTTACTATACCTTCCGAAAAAATACTGCGTCCTCTCCTTCAGCGTCGAACTAAGCATGTAATTGTGTTGACAGTCATTGATCGACAAGTCATATTGCATGCCGAACAACAACCCTAGCCTAGTCAAACTGTGCAGCTTCGCATGCTGACCAACGAGAGGTAGGCCTATTTCTGATCTGGCACATCTGCGGGTCACCTTCAGCATTCAAAATGTTTGTAAAATGGGTTGGCTTTATTAGTTGTGTGGCAGACCGGGGGTTCGATCAAGACGTTTACACAGATCCGACATGGACACAAGTGCGATACCTCAGTTTCAAGGGTGTTTATTTAAAACAATGAAGAAAAAGAAAAGAAACCGGTCTCCTCCAGGAGACCTCCTCCGGGTTACCGTCTTCTGGGCTCCGGGGAATGCTGTATTCTCTGGGGTAGAACACAGAGCCCCTCGGTTCGATCAGACCGTGAGGACGTCTGTCCGGTAGCAACCTCTCACTACCTCCAACCCTCCCGTGTGCTGCCCTCCTAGCAGCTTTATGGGCCCCGTACGGCTGGTGAGCAATCAGCCCCTTCATTACTCACCAGACTCAATCAGCCCCAATTAATCCTGGCCAGAGGACCCGTCGAGACCTGGCACATCCAGCAGAGAGAGCCACCGCCGCGTGATATAGACTCCGTCTGTCACCAGGCCTCGACGAGTCTCCCCCTGGTGGCTTGTCCGTGGTACGCCGCAGTTGAGTGACAACCAATGTAATTTGCTAGGTTATTTTGATCAAATGCCTAAACTACCCCCGGAGAGAACTCTCATCTGGCTATACAGGCTGATCATTAGATTTCATTTCGATTGTTCAGGTTCATCATCAGCAATAGTTTTGGTAGTTTTGCTTGAAACAATCATTTTATTTTTTATTTTTTATATGCTGGGTCAAGTTGATCATTTCATAATGAGGACAACAATAACTTTTGCTACATTTTTTTACATTTTACATTTTAGTCATTTAGCAGACGCTCTTATCCAGAGCGACTTACAGTTAGTGAATACATTTTTTATTTTTTTTTATACTGGCCCCCCATGGGAAACGAACCACCAACCCTGGCGTTGCAAACGCCATGCTCTATCAACTGAGCTACATCCCTGCCGGCCATTCCCTCCCCTACCCTGGACGACGCTGGGCCAATTGTGCGCCGCCCATCAGTCTCCCGGTCGCGGCCGGCTGCGACAGAGCCTGGATTCGAACCAGGATCTCTAGTAGCACAGTTAGCACTGCGATGCAGTGCCTTAGACCACTGCGCCACTGCATGGTTGAAGCGGGAGACTTTGAAGAAGAGAAGCTCACTCCAAGTAATCAAAACTTCCAAACGGTCTAAACCATTCGATTATGAGACGGGGGTGGAATCCAAAGTTGTCCTATATACACTGCTCAAAAAAATAAAGGCAACACTTAAACAACACATCCTAGATCTGAATGAATGAAATAATCTTATTAAATACTTTTTTCTTTACATAGTTGAATGTGCTGACAACAAAATCACACAAAAATTATCAATGGATATCAAATGTATCAACCCATGGAGGTCTGGATTTGGAGTCACCCTATAAATTAAAGTGGAAAACCACACTACAGGCTGATCCAACTTTGATGTAATGTCCTTAAAACAAGTCAAAATGAGGCTCAGTAGTGTGTGTGGCCTCCACGTGCCTGTATGATCTCCCTACAACGCCTGGGCATGCTCCTGATGAGGTGGCGGATGGTCTCCTGAGGACTCTCCTCCCAGACCTGGACTAAAGCATCCGCCAACTCCTGGACAGTCAGTGGTGCAACGTGGCGTTGGTGGATGGAGCGAGACATGATGTCCCAGATGTGCTCAATTGGATTCAGGTCTGGGGAACGGGCGGGCCAGTCCATAGCATCAATGCCTTCCTCTTGCAGGAACTGCTGACACACTCCAGCCACTTGAGGTCTAGCATTGTCTTGCATTAGGAGGAACCCAGGGTCTGAGGATCTCATCTCGGTACCTAATGGCAGTCAGGCTACCTCTGGCGAGCACATGGAGGGCTGTGCGGCCCCCCAAAGAAATGCCACCCCACACCATGACTGACCCACCGCCAAACCGGTCATGCTGGAGGATGTTGCAGGCAGCAGAACGTTCTCCACGGCGTCTCCAGACTCTGTCACGTCTGTCACATGTGCTCAGTGTGAACCTGCTTTCATCTATGAAGAGCACAGGGCGCCAGTGGCGAATTTGCCAATCTTGGTGTTCTCTGGCAAATGCCAAACGCCCTGCACGGTGTTGGGCTGTAAGCACAACCCCCACCTGTGGACGTCGGGCCCTCATACCACCCTCATGGAGTCTGTTTCTGACCGTTTGAGCAGACACATGCACATTTGTGGCCTGCTGGAGGTCATTTTGCAGGGCTCTGGCAGTGCTCCTCCTGCTCCTCCTTGCACAAAGGCGGAGGTAGCGGTCCTGCTGCTGTGTTGTTGCCCTCCTACGGCCTCCACCACGTCTCCTGATGTACTGGCCTGTCTCCTGGTAGCGCCTCCATGCTCTGGACACTACACTGACAGACACAGCAAACCTTCTTGCCACAGCTCGCATTGATGTGCCATCCTGGATGAGCTGCACTACCTGAGCCATTTGTGTGGGTTGTAGACTCCGTCTCATGCTACCACTAGAGTGAAAGCACCTCCAGCATTCAAAAGTGACCAAAACATCAGCCAGGAAGCATAGGAACTGAGAAGTGGTCTGTGGTCACCACCTGCAGAACCACTTCTTTATTGGGGGTGTCTTGATAATTGCCTATAATTTCCACCTGTTGTCTATTCCATTTGCACAACAGCATGTGAAATGTATTGTCAATCAGTGTTGCTTCCTAAGTGGACAGTTTGATTTCACAGAAGTGTGATTGACTTGGAGTTACATTGTGTTATTTAAGTGTTCATTTTATTTTTTTGAGCAGTGTATATTCATTGGCTATGTCATAGCAAATTTGTAAAGATAAATATTGATACATTACTGTAACGTATACGCAGGGAGTCAGGAAGCAGGTGCAGAAGGTTCAGCCGCCTCGCTGTCCGTATGTACTCCAGGTTCCGATGGTCAGTGAGGATGAGACATGAGTCCTTGGCACCCTCCAGCCAGTGTCTCCACTCCTCTAATGCCAAATTCACCGCCAAGAGCTCCTGGTCGCCGACGTCATAGTTCCTCTCAGCAGGAGACAGTTTTTTTTTTGTAGTATGCACATGGATACAATTTCTGTGGGTTACCTTGACGTTGGGACAGGATGGCCCCCACGCCCACTGCTGAAGCGTCCACCTCCACCACGAAGGGCAGCATAGGATCTGGGTTTTCTGCAACGGGGCGGAGGTGAAACACCCCTTCAGTATACGGAAGGCGTCATCGGCTGTAAGACTCCACACCAACTTACAGGTACCACCCTTGAGGTGAGAGGAGAGGCGATAGAGCTGAAGTTCCTAATGAAGCAGCGGCAGAAGTTGGCAAACCCCAAACACCATCGTAGCCCCTTTATGGGACTGGCCATGACCTGACTGCATCGACCTTCCTCTCCTCCATCATCACTCCCCGTGGACTGATCTGGTATCCTCAGAAGTAGACAGCAACCTGATGGAACTGGCACTTCTCCGCTTTCACATACAGGTGATCCTCCAGGGGGCGATCCAGGACTACTCTGACATGGGCGATGTGATCCTCCAAGGTGGCCGAGTAGACCAGGATGTTGTTGATATACACGACCACCTGGCGCCCGAGCATGTCGCGGAACACTTCGTTAATGAATGCCTGGAACACCGACGGAGCATTGGCTAATCCATAAGGCATCACCGTTTTCCATTAATCCAATTTGGTTTTAAAAAACGGGCACCGCGGAGCTGTTCGATCGCAGCCGGCACCAACGGAAGAGGGTAGCGGTACTTATTGGTGATTGAATTGAGGACTCTGTAATCAATACACGGGCGTAGACCTCCGTCCTTCTTGGCCACGAAGAACAAGCCTGCCAAAGCAGTGGAGGAGGAGGTGCGGATGAAACCAAGAGCCATGAACCTCTCATTGGAACCCAGCTCCTCCTCTCCTCTCTCCCAGACGGCCGTAGCCCACTCCAAAGCCTTTCCGGTCAGCAGGGAAATGACCGTGGCAACCTTGGACCTCTCGGTGGTGGGGGCTCCTGTCTGATGGGCGAAATAGAGAGAGCACTGGAGTAGGAAGCCACGGCATTTCGATGGAGTCCCGTCATATTTGTACGGGAGGTTGCCACGGTCATGTGATATCGCTGACCCTGGGTGGACTGCTGGATGGGCTGGGGGACTGGCTCTCTGGGACGACTCGTGGTAGAGGATCCTCCGCTAGTTGGAGATGAATCCTCTCAGGTGTTGTCGAGATGGTGGAGAACGCGGAGGACCGTATCCATTACCGTAACCAGTTAAGCCAGCTGGTCGTGGTGTTGACGGAGTAGGTGTTCCTGTTCGTCGACCATCTGGGAGATATCCTTAACTTCTGCAGATTCCATATCTTGAGAGGCATTATTCTGTAACGTATACGCAGGGAGTCAGGAAGCAGGTGCAGAAGGTGAGTTTAATAATAAGAAACATGAAGATAATCAAAACAGGAATAGCGTATTGAACGTAAACAAAACCAATACTGCCTGAAGACTGAGGCTACTGAGGGCTAAATAAAGGGAGAGTAATCAGGGTGATGATGAAGTCCAGGTGTGCTTAACGATGTGGAGCAGGTGTGCACAATGATGGTTGTCAGGTGTGCGTAATGAGGGTTGCCAGGACCGGTGGTTAGCAGACCGGCGACGTTGAGCACCGGAGCGGGAGTAGGCGTGACAATTACTAGCTCTAAAAAAAAAATGCTGCAAAACTAACAAATTATGTAGTGGGTGATGATGATTTCAGATCAAAAGTGGGGTGGGACAAAAAGCAAACATTTCCCCCCCCCCCCCCCCCCTAACTGATAGTGGGCTGGTAGATGCCCCGTTTCCCTTATGGCTCAGCTCAGGTGCCTACATACACCATCTACATCATTTACACACACACACACACAAACAGAAGTCAGCTCAGACAGATACAGCTCAGAGAGGCCCAGCTCATGAACTCCATCAGCAGCAGATTTTAATTTAGAATGGAAAATGAATGTGTTTATGCAACAAATGTTAGTGCATCGTATCGAACCGAATCACATCGATTCGTTTCAAAGTAAAATGTATCGTTCCTGTATCGTATCGGAGCCCATGTACTGTATCTAGATACATATCGAATCGTCTTGAAAGGGAAAGATGCACATCCCACCATATACCACCATCAACTCTACCATGTAAGTCTTAGATCTATAACTTGACAGCCATATACCACCATTAACTCTCGAAAACTCTAGGCGGCATTCTGCCTTCTTCCTACAGTTTTCAGCTGTTAGCTTCACCCATGACTGGCTCATGTGAACTAGAATCCCGACGCTGTGTTTTAACGTTTAGAAACGTCAATAATAATAATAATTGTCGCTTGCGATACGGCTTTCGAAACATATGGCCATTATCTTTCATCAGCGAGAAAGAATCCTTCAAATAAAAAAGATACACTTACTGTAGTATTTTTGCACAGATCTATACAGCTATGGGTGCCTCCATCCAATGAAACTACACTTCCGCTACTCTTCCAGAGTTATCCTTACACACAGGTGTTCGGAGCACGCTAGATACAGTGGGGAAAAAAAGTATTTAGTCAGCCACCAATTGTGCAACTTCTCCCACTTAAAAAGATGAGAGAGGCTTGTAATTTTCATCATAGGTACACGTCACCTATGACAGACAAATTGAGGGAAAAACAATCCAGAAAATCAACATTGTAGGATTTTTTATGAATTTATTTGCAAATTATGGTGGAAAATAAGTATTTGGTCACCTACAAACAAGCAAGATTTCTGGCTCTCACAGACCTGTAACTTCTTCTTTAAGAGGCTCCTCTGTCCTCCACTCGTTACCTGTATTAATGGCACATGTTTGAACTTGTTATCAGTATAAAAGACACCTGTCCACAACCTCAAACAGTCACACTCCAAACTCCACTATGGCCAAGACCAAAGAGCTGTCAAAGGACACCAGAAACAAAATTGTAGACCTGCACCAGGCTGGGAAGACTGAATCTGCAATAGGTAAGCAGCTTGGTTTGAAGAAATCAACTGTGGGAGCAATTATTAGGAAATGGAAGACATACAAGACCACTGATAATCTCCCTCGATCTGGGGCTCCACGCAAGATCTCACCCCATGGGGTCAAAATGATCACAAGAACGGTGAGCAAAAATCCCAGAACCACACAGGGGGACCTAGTGAATGACCTGCAGAGAGCTGGGACCAAAGTAACAAAGCCTACCATCAGTAACACACTACGCCGCCAGGGACTCAAATCCTGCAGTGCCAGACGTGTCCCCCTGCTTAAGCCAGTACATGTCCAGGCCCGTCTGAAGTTTGCTAGAGTGCATTTGGATGATCCAGAAGAGGATTGGGAGAATGTCATATGGTCAGATGAAACCAAAATATAACTTTTTGGTAAAAACTCAACTCGTCGTGTTTGGAGGACAAAGAATGCTGAGTTGCATCCAAAGAACACCATACCTACTGTGAAGTATGGGGGTGGAAACATCATGCTTTGGGGCTGTTTTTCTGCAAAGGGACCAGGACGACTGATCCGTGTAAAGGAAAGAATGAATGGGGCCATGTATCGTGAGATTTTGAGTGAAAACCTCCTTCCATTAGCAAGGGCATTGAAGATGAAACGTGGCTGGGTCTTTCAGCATGACAAATGGACACGAAGGAGTGGCTTGTAGAAGCATTCAGTCTGGAGGGCCTAGCAGTCTCAATCTCAACCCCTAGAAATCTTTGAGGGAGTTGAAGTCGTGTTGCCCAGCCAGCCCCAAAACATCACTGCTCTCGCATGAGGAATGGCCCCACACAGTGTGTGAAACTGTGAAGACTTACAGAAAAGGACTTGTCATTGCCAACAAAGGGTATATAACAAAGTATTGGAAACTTTTGTTTTGACCAAATACTTATTTCACATTTTGCAATACATTAAAAATCCTACAATGTGATTTTCAGGAAAACATTTTCTCATTTTGTCTGTCATAGTTGACGTGTACCTATGATGAAAATTATAGGCCTCTCTCATCTTTTTAAGTGGGAGAACTTGCACAATTGGTGGCTGACTAAATACTTTTTTCCCCCACTGTAGCTAATTAGCACAGGTGGTCGCCTCTGTCTTCCGTCTGTTTTCCGTAAACAAGCACTGTAACATGGATATATGACCGTGTTGGAACACTAACCCTATAAAGGTGTGTATCAGTTTAACCTTTTTGTTAATTATTATTATTACTTCTCGTTTATATGAAAGATAAGGTCCTTATGCTTCCAAAACCGTACCGCAAGCGATGTGTGTTAATGTTGAGACAGAGTGTCGGGGCGCTTAACAAAACTCCCCCGTACAGAAGACGCCTTCGTCCAATGACTCCAATAACTCTTATGTGTAATGGAATGGAACTGAGAGTCATAATCAAGGGCTAATACCACCATCAACTCTACCATGTACGTGTCTGCTGTGATGTCACACCAGGTGCCATAGTGGACACAAACGTGCAGTGACATACAGTCTAATCACCATTACAAACACGGCAGGATCACAGCTGCACTCTGAAGTGTGTAGAGTCATCAGGATTCTACGTTGATAGTCTTCGATGTAGATACACCACCATCAACTCAACTACTTCAATCTGAAGTCAGTGTACCACTGTCAACCCCTTCCATACGTGTCAGCTCCATCACCTGCGTCAGCAGCCAGCGACGTCAGCAGACACTACAGCACTCACTGAACCCATACTGTGTACTGTACACCTCTACACGTATCATGGCTCACAGAACACAGTCAGCTTGCAGTCAGCTTCAGCTAGACTCATAGTCATTTGGTTAACATAGTCTGTTTATGTGGGTCAAATCTGTTTGGGTGTTTTGTGGGCAACTCTTGTTTTGGCCACATTAGTCACACCGACTGGGTGACACTACTGTCATTTTCCAGCAGGACGTTAAACAGTCTCTACTCTACACACACTCCTTACACACACACACACACACACACACACACACACACACACACACACACTCCTTTCACACACACACACGCCCACTCAGAGTGACAACACCGACCGTGTGCCGTGCTCCTCTGTGTCCCCAAATACTTTTCCCTGTTTGGCTCTGAGTGAGTGTCACCTGACGCTTTCACAGTAAACAGCAGGCTCTGGAACAGGAAGTGCACAGCGCCTCTGTTGGGTTTCATTAGTCTGCTTGCCAAAAGCCACCCTATTCCCTATGTAGTCCACTTCTTTTGACCAGGGCCCATAGGGTAGTGCACTAGTTTATATAGGGAATATGGTGCCATTTGGGATACAAATCAAATCAAATTGTATTTGTCACATGCGCCAAATATAACCTAACCTTACCTTACTTATAAGCATTTAACCAACAATGCAGTTTTAAGAAAATAGAGTTAATAAAAAAATGTAACACAATAAAATAACAATAACGAGGCTATGTACAGGGGGTACAGGTACCGAGTCAATGTGCGGGGGTACAGGTTAGTCGAGGTAATTTGTATATGTAGGTAGGGATAAAGTGACTATGCATAGATAATAAACAGCAAGTAGCAGCAGTGTCAATGCAAATAGTCTGGGTGGTCATTTGTCTTATGGCTTGGGGGTAGAGGCTGTTAAGGAGCCTTTTGGACCTAGACTTGGCACTCAAATGAAATCAAATTGTATTTGTCACATACACGTGTTTAGCAGATGTTATAGCGGGTGTAGCGAAATGCTTGTGCTTCTAGCTCCGACAGTGCAATAATATCTAACAAGTAATATCAAACAATTTCACAACACATACCCAATACACACAAAACTAGTAAGGAATGGAATTTAAGAATATATACATATATGGACAAGCAATGACAGAGCGGCATGGACTAAGATACAGTAAAATATTATAGAATAGAATACAGTATATACATGAGATGAGTAGTGCAAGATATGTAAACATTATTAAAGTGACTAGTGTTCCATTTCTTAAAGTGGCCAGTGATTTCAATAGGCAGCAGCAGACTCTAATGTGCTAGTGATGGCTATTTAACAGTCTAATGGCCTTGAGATAGAAGCTGTTCATTCTCTCGGTCCCAGCTTTGATGCACCTGTACTGACCTCGCCTTCTGGATGATAGCGGGGTGAACAGGCAGTGGCTCGGGTAGTTGATGTCCTTGATGATCTTTTTCGCCTTCCTGTGACATCGGGTGCTGTATGTGTCTTGGAGGGCAGACCGCACCACCCTCTGGAGAGCCCTGCGGTTGCGGGCGTTGCAGTTGCCGTACCAGGTGGTGATACAGCCCGACAGGATGCTCTTAATTGTGCATCTGTAAAAGTTTGTGAGGGTTTTAGGTGCCAAGCCAAATTTCTTCAGCCTCCTGAGGTTGAAGAGGCTCTGTTGCGCCTTCTTCACCACATTGCCTGCGTGGGTGGACCATTTCAGTTTGTCGGTAATGTGTATGACAAGGAACTTGAAGCTTTCCACCATCTCCACTGCGGTCCCGTCGATGTGGATAGGGGGGTGCACCCTCTGCTGTTTCCTGAAGTCCATGATCATCTCCTTTGTTTTGTTGATGTTGAGTGAGAGGTTATTTTCCTGGCACCACACTCCCAGAGGCCTCACCTTCTCCCTGTAGGCGGTCTCGTCATTGTTGGTAATCAAGCCTACTACTGTTGTGTCGTCTGCAAACTTGATGATTGAGTTGGAGGCGTGCTTGGCCACGCAGTCATGGGTGAACAGGCAGTACAAGATGGGGCTGATTACGCACCCTTGTGGGGCCTCAGTGTTGAGGATCAGCGAAGTGGAGATGTTGTTTCCTACGTTCACCACCTGGGGGCAGCCCGTCAGGAAGTCCAGGACCCAGTTGCACAGGGCGGGGTTCAGACCCAGGGCCTCGAGCTTAATGATGAGCTTGGAGGGTACTATGGTGTTGAATGCTGAGCTATAGTCAATGAACAGCATTCTTACATAGGTATTCCTCTTGTCCAGATGGGATAGGGCAGTGTGCAGTGTAATGGCGATTGCATCGTCTGTGGATCTATTGGGGCGGTAAGCAAATTGAAGTGGGTCTAGGGTGACAGGTAAGGTAGAGGTGATATGATCCTTGACTAGTGCTACGGGGCGATAGTCATTTAGTTTTTGCTTAGTTGCTTAGTCACTTTGCTTTCTTGGGTACAGGAACAATGGTGACCATCTTGAAGCATGTGGGAACAGCATACTGGGAAAGGGAGAGATTGAATATGTCTGTAAACACACCAGCCAGCTGGTCTGCGCATGCTCTGAGGACGTGGCTAGGGATGACGTCTGGGCCGGCAGCCTTGCGGGGATTAACATGCTTAAATGTCTTAATCACGTCGGCCTTGGAGAAGGAGAGGCCACAGTCCTTGGTAGTGGGCCTCGTCGGTGGCACTGTGTTATCCTCAAAGCGGGCGAAGAAGGTGTTTAGCTTGTCTGGAAGCGAGACGTCGGTGTTGGCGACGTGGCTGGTTTTCCTTTTGTAGTCCGTGATTGTCTGTAGACCCTGCCACATACGTCTTGTGTCTGAGCCGTTGAATTGCGACTCCACTTTGTCTCTATACTGATGTGTTGCCAGTTGAATTGCCTTGTGGAGTGAGTAGCTACACTGTTTGTATTCTGACATATTCCCAGTCACCTTGCCATGGTTAAATGCTGTGGTTCGCACTTTCAGTTTTGCGCGAATGCTGCCATCTATCCACGATTTCTGGTTAGGGTAGGTTTTAATAGTCACAGTGGGCACAACATCACCTATACACTTCCTGATAAACTCAGTAACCGTTTCAGTGTATTCGTCTAGATTATTTTCGCAAGCTACCCAGAACATATCCTAGTTCTCGTGATCAAAACAATCTTGAAACGTGGATTCCGATTGGTCAGACCAGCGTTGAATAGTCCTTAGCACGGGTATTTCCTGTTTGAGTTTCTGCCTATAGGAAGGGAGGAGCAAAATGGAGTCGTGGCAGATTTGCCGAAAGGAGGGCGGGGGAGGGCCTTATAACCATCCCGGAAGTTCGAATAGCAATGGTTAAGGATTTTAGCAGCGCGAGTACAAGAGTCGATATGTTGATAGAACTTCGGCAGCCTAGTCCTCAAATTTGCTTTTTTAAAATCCCCGGCTACAATAAATGCAGCCTCAGGATATGTGGTTCTAGTTTGCATAAAGTCCAGTGAAGTTCTTTGAGGGCCGTCGTGGTATCGGCTTGAGGGGGGAGATACACGGCCGTGACTATAACCGAAGAAAATTATCTTGGGAGATAATACGGTCTGCATTTGATTGTGAGGTATTCTAGGTCGGGTGAACAAAAGGACTCGAGTTCCTGTATGTTACTACAATTACACCATGAGTCGTTAATCATGAAACACACACCTCCGCCCTTCTGCTTGCCAGAGAGATATTTATTCCTGTCTGCGCGATGAACTGAGAACCCATTTGGCTGGACCGATTTCGACAGAATATCCCAAGAGAGCCATGTTTCCGTGAAACAAAGTATGTTACAGGGCTTGATGTCTCTGGAAAGAATCCTTGCCCGGAGCTCGTCGACCTTGTTAACCAGAGACTGAACATTAGTGAGTAGTATACTTGGAAGCGGTGGGTGGTGTGCGCGCCTCCTAAGTCGAACCAGCAGGCCGCTCCGAGTGCCTCTCCTCCGCCATCGATGTTTTGGGTCAGCCGCTGGGATCAGTTTTGTTGCCCTGGGGAGAGCAAACAAAGGATCTGCTTCGGGAAAGTCGTATTCCTGGTCGTAATGCTGGTGAGTTACCGCCGCTCTGATATCCAATAGTTTTCCCCGGCTGTATGTAATGATACAAAACACTTTCTGAGCTAATAATGTAAAAAATAATACATAAAAAAACAAAATACTGCAATGTTTCCTAAGAGCTAGTCGCAAGGCCGCCATCTTCGTCGGTGCCAGGTACATGAAGGGGGGTTGTGCGGTAGCAGTGAGAACAGTCTATGACTTGGTGACTGGAGTCTTTGACAATTTTTTGGGCTTTCCTCTGACACCACCTAGTATATAGGTCCTGGATGCAGGAAGCTTGGCCCCAGTGATGTATTGGGTTATATGGTTGGATGCCGAGCAGTTGCCATACCAGGCGGTGATGCAACCGGTCAGGATGCTCTCGATGGTGCAGCTGTAGAACTTTTTGAGGATCTGGGGACCCATGCCAAATCATTTTATTCTCCTGAGGGGGAAAAGGCGTTGTCGTGCCCTCTTCACGACTTTGTTGGTGTGATGTGGACACCAAGGAACTTTAATCTCTCAACCCGCTCCACTACAGTCCCTTCGATGTGAATGAGGGCGTGTTTGGCCCTCTTTTTCCTGTAGTCCACGATCATCTCCTTTGTCTTGCTCACGTTGAGGAAGAGGTTGTTGTCCTGGCACCACACTACCAGGTCTCTGACCTCCTCCCTATAGGCTCTCTCATCGTTGTCGGTGATCAGGCCTACAGTCTTGGATATTTGGCTTCATTTGGACAGTGTAGACAGTTAAGTCACAGGAAGAGACTGGTTGAGCAGAGACGTGGAGACATGACCCCCTCCCAAAGCCACACGCTGGCTCATGATTGATGGTGTTTGTGTGTTTATCATATAGCTTAGTGTGTTCTGTAGGGAAGGCAGCAGGCAGGTCGACAGGCCGCTGTGGACTGAACGTGTTGCTGAATGTATTAGGCAGTGTCTCTAGTGTGAGCTGCGCTATGTTGCTTTTTCCAGAGGACAGCGTCTGAGTGTTGGGCTAGTCTGGGGAAATACCCATCATCCAAATATGGAGAGGTAGAAATAGATGTATTGAGGAGGCAAACATAGGCAAACACCACACACACAAACACACACACTTACTGGAAGTCCTGGAGTGTACACACACTCATACTGTATACCCACCTGCTGCATTCCTCCACTTTTTTTTCTTATTTTGTTTACCTTTATTTTCCCCTGTTTCTCCTCTCATTAGTTCATTGCTCTTTATTGTACTCTTAACCACTTGAGGGAGCAATATAGGGCTACTTAAATTCCCTCCTGACTGTTTACACACTGCTGAAGGCTTTTCCTCAGCATCCAGCCAACTAATAGAGATGACCAGGTGCTTAAAGGAGAAAACTCACTAGACTGCTTGTCGGTCTGTACAGTAGGGGGCCGTTTGTTTGCTGACGGCACGGTGTGTTATAGGGACTACCCCACCGGTGTGGGACTGACAGATGTCATTTTTGCCCGTTTCTACATGTATAATTGGTTTGCACTCGGTTTGCAAATTACGTCTGGCACTCTGTTCAGAGGTGCTAAGTACTCTCGGACCGGCAGACACTTAGCAATCCTACTGGTCTGTCCATGCCTTAAGGCTTATGAGGAACATTGCTTAAAGAAGAGAGAGATTCACACACTGTTCCGAAGGCCATTTCTTAAAGTCTCGTAGTACGATACGTTCTTAAAGCGATTCACACACATGCCATCCAGTATGATAGGAAGGAAGTTGCTAGATGATCCTTTTAATTCTGCAGCCGTTGCAACATCAGGGACTATCCTTCGCTGCTGGGCCGAGTGAGGGAGCATCCGTAACCAGACTCACAAATCACCCTCACGGACACACAGACAGGGCTGTGACTGGTAGGCAGTAGCGAAGGACTCCCAACAGTCCCTGATGTCGCATTGGCTGCAGAATGAAAAGTATAATCTAGCAACTTCCTTCCCATCATACTGGATGGCATGTGTGTGGATGGCGTGTGTGTGAGAGAGGGAGAGAATCTCGCTAGGAACAAAATATAATTTGTTTTGAATCTGAGACCTTTTTATAACATCTGAGTTGTTTGGATTCAAAATCTAAGTTGTTGACCAATGGGTATTACTGTAAAGTTTTTCGTTTTTTCTTTCCATGATCATTATGGAGTTTATCCACCCGGCCACATTTTAATGTCAGTGTAAAAACAAGAAGATTTTGTCACGTTGTATAATGATTTGAAGATGGGCAGGAATACGTATTATGGGTTTTATTTACTCCACCCAAGACAAACACGTATATATATATATATATATACCAAAGGGATGTAACCCAAACAAAGAGCGAGGTGTAACCTCTACACAATACACGGGACGAGACCCGTGAACAACAAGAGCACAATACACGGTACTCACGAGACCAACGGACATGGGACAATAATCGACAAGGACAATGGGGAACAGAGGGCACATATATACACATTCTAATCAGGGGGAATGGGAACCAGGTGTGTGTAAAGAGCCAAGACAGTCTGGGGTTGGTGGTAATGATCCATGTCAGTGACGCCTAGAAAGCCGGTGACATAGACCTCCGGAACTGGTGAACGGAATGAGCAGCAGTACCGGGGGGATCCGTGACAGATTTGGCTGATTGATGTACTGTGTATTGTGCTCTTGTTGTTTACGGGTCTCGTCCTGTGTAGCTCAGTTGGTAGAGCATGGCGTTTGCAACGCCAGGGTTGTGGGTTCGATTCCCACGGGGGGCCAGTATGAAAAATGTATGCACTCTCTAACTGTAAGTCGCTCTGGATAAGAGCGTCTGCTAAAATGACAAAAATGCAAAAATATATATAAAGCAAAGCTTGATAAAATGGAACCTCTAATCCCACGGCAGCATTTGGTTCGATATGAACGGAAGCGTCCGGTAGGTTCAGCACACGCTGGCTAACACATACTCTACAGGTTTCATGTGCTGTGCTGGGATTATTAACACGCTCATAAACAGGGAATTAAGACAGCCAGCAAACGTGGTGGACTGCATTAAATAGGTGGCTGATAAAGGGGGCGTTTGATGCCATTGTCTTCCCCATCGACATCGTTGAGTTTTGGAAGCCAGATTGCCATTGCCCCCCCCCCCCCCCCCCCCCCCCCCCGCCAACACTAGGGTGGACGATTGCCTTTTAGCTTATGTCTAAAACAGATATGTGTGGTCAGGGATGCAAAGACTGAAAGTGGTATTAAAGAGCAGCATTATGTTCTTTTTGAGTGAATAGAAAAACGAGTGCTTGTTTTGTGAATGAACTGGCGAGTCCCTTTTCACTAGGTCCCTGGCTGCTCGGCTGTTTTGTGAATGAATTCTTGAAAGGCAAAGCTATCAGAGCTCTGTAGCTCAGCTCTGCTCTCTGTGTGTCAGAGAGAAAGGCAATCACTGAGCCTCACCGCATAAACACTTCCACTATGCAACCACTTCCTCACTCTCTCTCCCCCTTTTCTCCCACTCCCTTTTGTTTCTCTTGTCACTCAGTCGCTTCCTTTCGTGCACACTCCCTTTCATGCTCTCTCTCTCTCCCTTTCTAGCTGACTTCCTGTCTTTCTCTCTCCTTCGCTCTCACTTATTTCAATTAGGCACTCTTCCCATCTTTTATTGCCGAATGTTGTCGTCTTTCATCCTGGATTCCAGAGAGAGAGCGAGAGAGAGAGGAAAAACACAAAGAGAGGGGGAAAGAGAGAGCTGGAGGGCCGGTGGGACATGTTATTGTGCTGTCTGGTGTCTGTGTGTCGGAACTCTAAAATAACGAGGGAGGAGGGGAAGAGAGGGATGAGGAAGTCTCCCAGGTCCACCCAGCTAGCTACTGTAGACGAGGGGAATTACACAATCAAATTCTCCCGAATGCCTATGGCTTCATTTAATGAATTATCAAAATAATGTACAGAATTATGCAAATCCCCAGATCTGCACTCATTCATTATTTGTCATTCAATTTCAAGGTCTTGTTTGATACTTGTTGAGCATCAGAAGGAATTCTTCTCTTAAGACCCTTTCTCACAAATAATTTGTATGCAAAAAATTAATATGAGCACGTCTTGTTTATGACGCCGTTCACACCAATTGCTAAATATTGTCCTGCCACAATCCGTCAATATGTAATGGCAGACCTGATGGAAACAGAACATTTAACTTTTCAAATATCGACAAAACACAATACGCTAGAGAAGGTGGGATCTTTTTGTGTCGGTAAAATGAATTATGCAAGAAATGTCGGTGGAGACGCTTTTATGCACAAATATTGATATAATAACCATCATATCGAAGTAAACTTGGTGACAGGTTGTGTGGTCCTCCCACTACGACTTGTCGGGAAAGCATGCAGTTTATTAGGCTACAGATTAAATAAATGATGATGAACTTCACAGGGTAGTGAAAGTGCAAGGTGATGAGCTTGATGCTTCTTTCCAATAAATATCGAGGGTCTTATTCTGGTGATATGATAATTGATGCTTGGCTGCCGTTTGACGAATAAAAATAATATTGCTTTTATGTCCATAATAATAATCTCATCATGTAGGGCAGGCTATACGTGCGCTCTAGCCAACAGCACGCAGATAGCGCTGTGCATGTAGCAATACCAGAGTGGGCAAACTCGCTATATAATTCAAAAAAGAATTGTGAGAAAACCATCAGTAGAGTTGAAAATGCCATGGAAACCCATTTTAACTTTACATTTTTATTCAGTAGGCCTACATGGGAATTTAACCTCAAAAGATATTTTTATATGTGCACTACATCATCACTCACAGCCTTTTATCTGCAACAAGGCAATTTGATGGAAACACATCTCTGGAGGGAAAATTTTGAATATTTGTATGAAAATATGTCGCAAATTTGATGCAAATCTAGCTACTGACAGATTGCACATGGCCACTGACAGTGTGAATTAATGCATTTCTCTCTGCCTGTATTGTACGTTTGCAATTAATCAGTGCAGCAATGTATCAATTTTGCCAATGTAATCACATCACACCAGAGCTACACATCGTTTTCACCATTCAAACTTCCCTGCCAGGTCATTACCAATGCTGTAGACAATTTTGTAGCCATTCAGCAAGCAAGAGGATCGATCGATGCTTCTCTCCTCGAATAGGCCTAGGCCTATTAGTTTTAAAAAATTGGTTGAGGGCCTCCTGAGTGGCGCAGCGGTCTAAGGCACTGCATCGCAGTGCTAGAGGCGTCACTACAGACCCAGGTTCGATCCCAGGCTGTGTCACAACCGGCCATGATCGGGAGTCCCATAGGGCGGCGGACAATTGGCCCAGCGTCTTCCGGGTTAGGGGAGGGTTTGGCCGGGGGGGCTTTACTTGGCTCATCGCGCTCTAGCGACTCCTTGTGGCGGGCCGGGCACCTGCAGGCTGACCTCGGTTGAACTGTGTTTCTTCCGAGACATTGGATGCAGCTGGCTTCCGGGTTAAGTGGGCGGGTGTTAAGAAGCGCGCTTTGGCGGGTCATGTTTCGGAGGACGCATGACTCGACTTTCACCTCCCGAGCCCGTTGGGGAGTTGCAGCGATGAGATAAGATCGAAATCCTTTCATGGTTCATCCTATAAGATGAATAGCTTATCCTAATATTTTCAGTAGCATACTATTTCTCCATAGTATATTATTTTCTCTCTCATTACTGCATCCTCTCTAGCCACTTTGAGCAACATATTGCCACTTAATTGTTTTACTGGACTGATGGCCTGCATCTGATGGTCAGTCTGAGGGGAGGGAGGGAGCAGCGGTAAGACTGCCTCTCATGCACCGTTTACATCGTACATTTCATTACGCCGTACGAAATCTTCACAGAGTCTTGCCCGCTACTGAACGGACAAGTGTAGTTGCAAAATATGACCTTTTCATTCAAGACAGAATGAATACACTGCTCAAAAAAATAAAGGGAAGACTTAAACAACACAATGTAACTCCAAGTCAATCACACTTCTGTGAAATCAAACTGTCCACTTAGGAAGCAACACTGATTGACAATAAATGTCACATGCTGTTGTGCAAATGGAATAGACAACAGGTGGAAATTATAGGCAATTAGCAAGACACCCCCAATAAAGGACTGGTTTTGCAGGTGGTGACCACAGACCACTTCTCAGTTCCTATGCTTCCTGGCTGATGTTTTGGTCACTTTTGAATGCTGGCGGTGCTTTCACTCTAGTGGTAGCATGAGACGGAGTCTACAACCCACACAAGTGGCTCAGGTAGTGCAGCTCATCCAGGATGGCACATCAATGCGAGCTGTGGCAAGAAGGTTTGCTGTGTCTGTCAGCGTAGTGTCCAGAGCATGGAGGCGCTACCAGGAGACAGGCCAGTACATCAGGAGACGTGGAGGAGGCCGTAGGAGGGCAACAACCCAGCAGCAGGACTGCTACCTCCGCCTTTGTGCAAGGAGGAGCAGGAGGAGCACTGCCAGAGACCTGCAAAATGACCTCCAGCAGGCCACAAATGTGCATGTGTCTGCTCAAACGGTCAGAAACAGACTCCATGAGGGTGGTATGAGGGCCCGACGTCCACAGGTGGGGGTTTTGCTTACAGCCCAACACCGTGCAGGACGTTTGGCATTTGCCAGAGAACACCAAGATTGGCAAATTCGCCACTGGCGCCCTGTGTTCTTCACAGATGAAAGCAGGTTCACACTGAGCACATGTGACAGAGTCTGGAGATGCCGTGGAGAACGTTCTGCTGCCTGCAACATCCTCCAGCATGACCGGTTTGGCGGTGGGTCAGTCATGGTGTAGGGTGGCATTTCTTTGGGGGGCCACACAGCCCTCCATGTGCTCGCCAGAGGTAGCCTGACTGCCATTAGGTACCGAAATGAGATCCTCAGACCCCTTGTGAGACCATATGCTGGTGCGGTTGGCCCTGGGTTCCTCCTAATGCAAGACAATGCTAGACCTCATGTGGCTGGAGTGTGTCAGCAGTTCCTGCAAGAGGAAGGCATTGATGCTATGGACCGCCCGTTCCCCAGACCTGAATCCAATTGAGCACATCTGGGACATCATGTCTCACTCCATCCACCAACGCCACGTTGCAACACAGACTGTCCAGGAGTTGGCGGATGCTTTAGTCCAGGTCTGGGAGGTGATCCCTCAGGAGACCATCCTCCACCTCATCAGGAGCATGCCCAGGCGTTGTAGGGAGGTCATACAGGCACGTGGAGGCCACACACACTACTGAGCCTCATTTTGACTTGTTTTAAGGACATTACATCAAAGTTGGATCAGCCTGTAGTGTGGCTTTCCACTTTAATTTTGAGGGTGACTCCAAATCCAGACCTCCATGGGTTGATACATTTGATTTCCATTGATCATTTTTGTGTGATTTTGTTGTCAGCACATTCAACTATGAAAAGAAAAAAGTATTTAATAAGATTATTTCATTCATTCAGATCTAGGATGTGTTATTTTAGTGTTCCCTTTATTTTTTTGAGCAGTGTATATTTTTTCAGGGGATAATAAAATGTATTTTGTTTAGTTACTTTTTCCTCAACTTGTTTCTCTAAGTCAAAAGTCATATAATATAATAGTCTTAACAGCCTTTATTTATTATTTAACATTACTATTAAAATAGTACTCACTAGGAATGGGTCATTGTTTATTCAACGCTGGTCTGACCAATCGGAATCCACACTTCAAGATTGTTTTGATCACACGGACTGGAATATGTTCCGCGTAGCTTCCGAAAATAATTTAGACGAATACACTGAAACGGTGACTACGTTTATCAGGAAGTGTATAGGTGATGTTGTGCCCACTGTGACTATTAAAAACCTACCCTAACCAGAAACCGTGGATAGATGGCAGCATTCGCGCCAATCTGAAAGCGCAAACCACCGCATTCAACCATGGCAAGGTGACTGGGAATATGGCAGAATACAAACAATGTAGCTACTCACTCCGCAAGGCAATTAAACTGGAAAAACATCAGTATAGAGACAAAGTGGAGTCGCAATTCAACGGCTCAGACACGAGACGTATGTGGCAGGGTCTACAGACAATCTTGACAAGCTAAACACCTTCTTCGCCCGCTTTGAGGATAACACAGTGCCACTGACGAGGCCCACTACCAAGGACTGTGGCCTCTCCTTCTCCGTGGCCGAAGTGATTAAGACATTTAAGCATGTTAACCCCCGCAAGGCTGCCGACCCAGACAGCATCCCTAGCCACGTCCTCAGAGCATTCGCAGACCAGCTGGCTGGTGTGTTTATGGACATATTCAATCTCCCTCTTTCCCAGTCTGCTGTTCCCACATGCTTCAAGATGGCCACCATTGTTCCTGTACCCAAGAAAGCAAAGGTAACTGAATTAAATGACTATCGCCCTGTAGCACTCACCTCTGTCATCATGAAGTGCTTTCAGAGACTAGTCAAGGATCATATCACCTCTACCTTACCTGTCACCCTAGACCAACTTTAATTTGCTTACCGCCCCAATAGATCCACAGACGATGCAATCGCCATTATACTGCACACTACCCTATCCCATCTGGACAAGAGGAATACCTATGTAAGAATGCTGTTCATAGACTATAGCTCAGCATTCAACACCATAGTACCCTCCAAGCTCATCATCAAGCTCGAGGCCCTGGGTCTGAACCCCGCCCTGTGCAACTGGGTCCTGACCTTCCTGACGGGCCGCCCCCAGGTGGTGAAGGTAGGAAACAACATCTCCACTTCGCTGATCCTCAACACAGGGGCCCTACAAGGGTGCGTGCTCAGCCCCCTCCTGTACTCCCTGTTCACCCATGACTGCGTGGCCAAGCACGCCTCCAACTCAATCATCAAGTTTGCAGACGACACAACAGTAGTAGGCTTGATTACCAACAATGACGAGACCGCCTACAGGGAGGAGATGAAGGCTCTGGGAGTGTGGTGCCAGGAAAATAACCTCTCACTCAACGTCAACAAAACAAAGGAGATGATCGTGGACTTCAGGAAACAGCAGAGGGTGCACCCCCCTATCCACATCGACGGGACCGCAGTGGAGAAGATGGAAAGCTTCCAAGTTCCTTGGCGTACACATCACCGACAAACTGGAATGATCCACCCACGCAGACAGTGTGGTGAAGAAGGCGCAACAGAGCCTCTTCAACCTCAGGAGGCTGAAGAAATTCAGCTTGGCACCTAGAACCCTCACAAACATTTACAGATGCACAATTAAGAGTATCCTGTCGGGCTGTATCACCACCTGGTACGGCAACTGCACCGCCCGCAACCCCAGGGCTCTCCAGAGGGTGGTGCGGTCTGCCGAACGCATTATTGGGGGCAAACTACCCAGCCTCCAAGACACATACAGCACCCGATGTCACAGGAAGGCCAAAAAGATAATCAAGGACATCAACCACCCGAGCCACTGCCTGTTCACCCTACTATCATCCAGAAGGCGAAGTCAGTACAGGTGCATCAAAGCTGGGACCGAGAGAATGAAAAACAGGGGATGGTGTTCTTGGGGTCATAGGCAGCATTCCTCCTCCTCCAAACACGGTGAGTTGAGTTGATGCCAAAGAGTTCCATTTTGGTCTCATCTGACCACAACACTTTCACCCAGTTCTCCTCTGAATCATTCAGATGTTCATTGGCAAACTTCAGATGGCCCTGTATATGTGCTTTCTTGAGCAGGGGGACCTTGCGGGCGCTGCAGGATTTCAGTCCTTCACTGCGTAGTGTGTTACCAATTGTTTTCTTGGTGACTATGGTCCCAGCTGCCTTGAGATCATTGACAAGATCCTCCCGTGTAGTTCTGGGTTGATTCCTCACCGTTCTCATGATCATTGCAACTCCACGAGGTGAGATCTTGCATGGAGCCCCAGGCCGAGTGAGATTGACAGGTCTTTTGTGTTTCTTCCATTTACGAATAATCGCACCAACTGTTGTCACCTTCTCACCAAGCTGCTTGGCGATGGTCTTGTGGCCCATTCCAGCCTTGTGTAGGTCTACAATCCTGTCTCTGACATTCTTGGAGAGCTCTTTGGTCTCGGCCATGGTGGAGAGTTTGGAATCTGATTGATTGATTGCTTCTGTGGACAGGTGTATTTTATACAGGTAACAAGTATAAAATACCTGTATAAAAGACACCTGGGAGCCAGAAATGTTTCTGATTGAGAGGGGGTCAAATACTTATTTCCCTCATTAAGATGCAAATCAATTTATAACATTTTTGACATGCGTTTTTCTGGATTTTTTTGTTGTTATTCTGTCTCTCACTGTTCAAATAAACCTACCATTAAAATTATAGACTGATCATTTCTTTGTCAGTGGGCAAACATACAAAATCAGCAGGGGATCAAATACTTTTTTCCCTCACTGTGTATGTATATTTTCTTAAATTCCATTCCTTACTAGTTTTGTGTGTATTAGGTATATGTTGTGAAATTGTTAGATTTTACTGCACTGTCGGAGCTAGAAGCGCAAGCATTTTGCTACACCCGCTATAACTGTCACGATCGCTCATGAACGAGAAGGACCAAGGCGCAGCGAGATATGCATTCATCTTTATTACACGTACTGAAAACACAACAAAACAACAAACGAAACGTGACGTCCAAGGTAGACTAATAACATACCTCACACGGAACAAGATCCCACAACTGACTGGTGCCAAAAGGCTGCCTAAGTATGGTCCCCAATCAGAGACAATGAGCTACAGCTGCCTCTGATTGGGAACCACCCTGGCCAACATAGATCTAAACGATCTAGAAACAAAACATAGAAATAAACACCACACGAAATATACACACCCTGACTCAACAAATTACCGTCCCCTGAGTCAGGACGTGACAATAACATCTGCTAAACACGTGTATGTGACAAATACAATTTGATTTGATTGGATTTGAAGTTGCTAGCTATCCCATAAAGCCGAAAACCACAGAGTTTCATCTTATTCTGTGGTTTGGTAACTTCCTGTTCTTCAACAGACTCTAGCTGGACTGAAGACGACACAAAGTTAGAAAAATGTCAAAGTATACGGCGTCCGTCTCGCAATGGAGCCTTTATCCGGAAGGGGGCGTTGCGTTTCCACTCCGTTGTAGACGTCCCCATTGAAATGTGAACCTTATGGGTATTGTGAACAAGGCTTCACCCGACTCACCGTCCCTCCGCTCTCCCTCCCTCCGCTTAGAAAAGTGGACACAGTCTTCCAGCTTATGGCAAAACTCAAGTAGCATTGCATTATTTCAGCCTCATGCTCCAATTCATGTTTTTAGTCTGTGTGTATTACCAGAGAAAGTGAATTATTCCTCTATATAAAAAAAAGACACAAGCTGCTAATAAGAACAACGCAAGCTTATCGGAACACTGCTATACTCATTCATTGCAGCTGCAGTGCTGGTTGTAGCATGAGTGGAAGTAGGGAGAATGCGCATTTTATGGCTTACAAAAGTGTTAAACAAAGTGTTGACAGTGCTGAATAACTTACTTATAAAAACAGCAGCTCTTTGTTGTGTTCATTGAGTCTGTCTCTAGTAATGGTTTTAAAAGTGTTTAAATCTCACAGTATCAACTTTGCAGACAGAGTCATCTGAGCTATTTGATTGGCCAACGGTAGGCCTATAGGTGCACTTGATTTGCTCTCTGGGCCTGCCGGGTAGGCGGAGTTCTAACTTCAGACACATGAAACACTTTGCCTTCCCGGTGCTAGGGCTGCTGAATCAAGTGCACCTACCGCCAACAGCACAAAACTAATTTAAAAAATTGGAACGCAAGGCTTTATCATTGGGTTTTTTACAGAAATGTTGGTGATCGACTAGGAATGTAATCGACCGCGATCGACCGGTTGGTGACCACTGGTATACAGTGATATAGAGGTGATAGGAGAAAGTGTTCCTTGTCTGGGGACATTGTTCACCTCTTGGGTAATGGCGTGGGGCTGTAACAACAATCAGTTCCTCAAGGGGTTTTGGCATCTTTTGAGGAATGTCTCAAACTTGACAACACTGATTTTGATCACACCGACTACCGTTATTTCATTCCTTTGCTAGGATGAAATGACATTTCCTTATCAGCTAGCTTGTTGTGAGGTGACACTATGTGTTATGAGTGTGTGACAGTGGGCCACAACTAGTGTTTGTGTGTGTCTTTCTCTCTGCAGGTTGAACTGTACCCCGTGTGCGGGGCTGTGTCCTAAGATGTGTACGGGGCTGAAGACAGTGGACTCTGTGACAGCAGCCCAGGCTCTGAGAGGATGCACTGTGCTCAACGGCAGCCTGATCATCAAGATCCGTGGAGGGAGTAAGTACAGTATACACCTACCCCTTCAATACCCCATCATCTATCCACCCCTTATCAAATTCAGGGTCCTTCCAACGACCCTCACCTACCTAGTATATTATTTAGTCACTTAAAACACTCTCTTAGTGATTTTTCCAGGTGCTCAAAATGCTTTACATTGAAAGTAATTGAAACTCACCTCATCCACTACCAATGTGAACTGACTGTCTGTTTCTCCTCTTTCCATCAGACAACATAGCAGCAGAGCTGGAGGCTAACCTGGGTCAGCTGGAGGAGATAACAGGCTACCTGACCATCAAGAGAGCCTATGCCCTCGTCTCTCTCTCCTTCCTCCGCAAGTTACACATCATCCGAGGGGAGACCTTGACCCAAGATGGGTAGGTCTCGGGTAGAAGTGCACTATATAGGGAAAAGGTTCCATATCAGATTTGGGGTTGAAACATTGTCCAAATTAACATAGTACTTGGGAGCATAGACCAGTGTGCAGATTATTTTTCTTTTTTTTGCTTCTACTGCCATATCAGATGTGCCTTAGGTCTTACAGACTGACTAGTTTGTTCTTTTTCTCAACATGTACCTTCTCAGGAACTACTCGTTCTACGCGCTTGACAACCAGAACCTGCGTCAGCTGTGGGACTGGAACAAACATAACCTGACCATCCTCCAGGGGCGCATGTTCTTCCTTCACAACTCCAAGCTGTGCATGTCTGAGATCCGCAAGATGGAGGAGGTGACGGGCACCAAGGGGAGAGACATCAAGAATGAAATCGCCGGCAGGACCAATGGAGACCAGGCCTCCTGTAAGACCAGACAACACTTTAGACAAAAAATATAATCATATGGTCATGTAGTAGACGCTATTACTCAAAGGTTACTTATGGTTAACATTTACTATTACGTATTTAGTGGCCCTTTATGGCTCAGTTGGTAGAGCATGGCGCTTGCAATGCCAGGATTGTGGGTTTGATACTAAAATGTATGCACGCATGACTGTAAGTTGCTTTGGATAAAAGCGGTCAGTAGGTCAGATCTGTATTTACAGTTTTCTTTACTTCTTCTACAATATTGCTATTCTCTCACCTCCCTGATTCGCCCTGATCAATCCTCTCCTTTGGCTGATGTCTGTCTCTGTTGTTGGTCTCCAGGTGAGAACCAGGTCCTGAAGTTCACCACAGTGCGCACGCAGTCAGACAAGATCCTCATCAAGTGGGAACCGTTCTGGCCGCCGGACTTCAGAGACCTACTAGGCTTCATGGTCCTCTACAAAGAGGCGTAAGTAGGAAACAATACATGAATACATAAATACCTAGAGGTGTACTGTGCTGCAAGTAAGTTAGTACCCTTGTCTGAGCCAGAATGGCCCATAGGGAAGGAGCCGATCATCTGTTTCTATAGGGTGAGGCAGCTTGATGGACATGTACACCCCTGGAGCGGACGTTATTCTATGGCAAGGTACTGCAGGTAGAAAAACATGAATACATATAAATTAAGAAGAAACACAAATACATTCAGAAAGAGGTAGAAGTACTGTGTGATGGACATGCCGGTAAGCAGTATTGAAAGACAAACATACCATGTCATTATTTAAGAACACTTTAGAAAGCTCCCGACACAGTCTAAATGATTGGACTTCTTAGCTGTAGCACAGAACAGGTGTCTTTTTCTGAATAAAACATGCTGTTTTAAGCATCGATCAGCATGTGGTGGACAGTATGAGTAATGGCTATTCTCTTCTCTTTGCATTACTCTTCAGAAAGCTCATACCACACTCCATGTGAATAGGTGTCCTGATTGCATTTCTTTGCTGTACTGCAGTAGAACTGAATATATGACTATTAAATGAGTCTCTCTCTCCTCTCCTACAGTATAATAATTTGATTGCTCTTACTGTAGCTCGAGCATTGAATGTTTCTTCTTTACTAAAGGAGGGGCTAGTAGTGGGACATTTGTTAACGGCTGTAATCGACTATGAATGGTAGCTGCTACTGTGCTACTTTTCGATGTGCATAATTAGGCCCCTCTCCTGTCATCGTTTTGAATCCAAGTCTCTTCCTTTCCATGGCCATCCCAAGAACTTAGTATTGTGTATGTGTGTGCCCCGCCCTTCCAGACCCTATAAGAATGTGACAGAGTTTGACTTGGCTTACGGTATATCTCTACTGTGTGTCTCTCTCTGTCCCCTTCCTTCTCCAGGCCTTATAAGAATGTGACAGAGTTTGATGGCCAGGATGCGTGTGGCTCTAACAGCTGGGTGATAGCTGACGTAGACCCTCCACCCCGGGCCACGGAGGGGGAGCCTGGCTACCTCATCCATACTATAAAGCCCTATACCCAGTACGCCATCATGGTCAAGACCCAGCTCTCCGCCTCAGATGAACACCAGGTCCTCGGGGCCAAGAGTGAGATCATCTACGTCCGCACCAATGCCACCAGTGAGTCAAAACAGTCTTCCGTCCTTACAACATTCTAATCTACTACATATCAAATCTTGTTGTGACCCAACAAATACACAAAACAATATATCTAGCTAGCTAGCTTTAACTCAAGTAATTTGTATTTTTACGTAACCAAAGACTCTGGAAACTAGATGCGATCCACCAATACGTCCCAACCCGCCAGTATGATGACAAACCCTACTTTAACCTTGTTGTGTGTTGTTATGTTTTAGAGCCGTCAGTGCCGCTGGACCCCATCTCCTCATCCAACTCGTCCTCCCAGATCATCCTGAAGTGGAAGCCCCCCACGGACCCCAATGGCAACATCACTCACTACCTGGTGTTCTGTCAGCAGCAGCCCGAGGACAGCGACCTCTACAAGTTTGACTACTGTCAAAAAGGTGAGACACAGAGGATTGTCATTATTCAGATGTTTACTTCATATTATAGTTAAAAAAAGGTAAATCAATCATATCAAATGATCTCATGGTTTTGTGTCTGATGATCTGTTGACCATTGAGAAAGGGGTTTCAGGGTCCACTATTTTGGGTTGGGATTCAGTTGGAACGTGACAGTTGTGATTGTAACCATCTCTCTCTGTCTGTGTGCAGGAATGAAGCTGCCGTCGCGGGCGCCCACCCATCTAGACACTGACGAGGAGCAAAAGTGGAACCAGACAGATGAGTCTGGGCCAGGGAGCCACTGCTGTGCCTGCCCCAAAACAGACACCCAGCTCAAGAAGGAGGCTGAAGAGTCTGAGTACCGCAAGACCTTCGAAAACTACATCCACAACGAAGTGTTTGAAGTCAGGTATGATAGCACAGTGTTTCCACTGCACTCATTTTGCTGTGGCACTGAGCCACGGAAAAATAATTGCCGCCACAAAAAATGAAATGGAACATGAAAAATATTTTCTGCTGAGGAGCACTTTGTAGATGCTAGAACAGCCCACATTTGCTTTTCCTCTGCAAACAAAACGAGTAATTAATATAAATATCTGACTACCCCATAGTAGAATAGTTTATCTATTTACCTAGTCGGCTTGTTGTGTGTTCTATGTGAGAAAAATATTCCTCTCTTGGTGCATTGAAGTTACGAGTGCCATAGGGAGGGAAACATGCATTCTGACAAGCAGTCAATGCACAACAATTCTTGCAATCGCGAAAACAGCAGTTGTAATGGCCTTTGTTAAAAAGAGGGCGATCCCAGCTTTCCATTCCTACTTTATTTATTTCTCAACTCCTAAATATGTGCGAACTGCACCAATTTTTAACCCAGAGTTTTTAGCAGCGGCATGGTTAAGCACATTACCGCTCCGCAATTAGCAGTGAGTGCATAGGGGAACTTGGGGTACACTACCTCAGAATAGTTTTGAAATAAAAATATTTGATCCTACACACTGAAGGCTGCAAAGCCGAAACGTCTGTGTACGCTATCCTTGATGCAGTGAAAAATATGAAACAATCTAAGAATGAAGTAAGTTTTATGAGACATCTTTTTGAGTGCGAACCCATTACACCTTTTATTTGTCGTAATTCACAGGTTTTACACACCAGCCAAGCTTCTGGGAGAGCGCGATGGTCCCCTTTTGATTAGTTAATGCCCAGCACCCCTCACCTTGTCAGCCAATCAGAGCACAACAGCCAGCAGCTCTGTGTCTGTGGTGTTATGCATAATTTGAAGCACTAATTCATGGGAGAGTGGGAGGGGGTAATTCACACCTAGCAGTGTTATCTAGCCTTGGCGGAAAACGCTGGGAAAATGGAAATGTCTCTCTCTCCGTGTGACAAATGAAATGCCTGCTCAACCCAAGCGTGATGATGGAGCATCAGGGCTGTGGAGGAGCTCTGAAGCAGACCAAGGAGGTTTAATTAGTGAAAGCCTCTCTATGCTCTATGCGTTCCATTCCCCTTTGATTGGGATTCCAGGAACATGTGAGTGTCACGTTGTATAATGACAGGAAGACAGGCGCAGGAATACGTATTAGGGGTTTTATTACTCCACCCAACACAAACACGTATATATATATGAAAGGGATGTAACCCAAACAAAGAGCGAGGTGTAACCTCTACACAATACACGGGACGAGACCCGTGAACAACAAGAGCACAATACACGGTACTCACGAGACCAACGGACATGGGACAATAATCGACAAGGACAATGGGGAACAGAGGGCACATATATACACATACTAATCAGGGGGAATGGGAACCAGGTGTGTGTAAAGACCCAAGACAGTCCGGGGTTGGTGGTAATGATCCATGTCAGTGACGCCTAGAAAGCCGGTGATGTAGACCTCCGAAACTGGTGAACGGAATGAGCAGCAGTACCGGGGGGATCCGTGACAGTACCCCCCCCCCCGACGCGGTGCAGCGGGACGGCACCGGCCTCGGGGGACGACCACACGGACGCGGTGCGGGTTGGTCAGGGCGCTGACTGTGAAAATCCCTGGTCAGCAAAGCGTCCACGATGTCCAATGGCCATACCCATCCCAGTCGATGAGGTAATGAGGTACTGGAGACGCCCCACCTCGAATCCAGGACTTCACGGATCGAGTACGCCGGACCTCCCTCGATGTCCAGAGGAGGAGGCGGGGCGTCACTGGGTCCAGCCTCAGCGAGGGGACCAGGCACCACTGGCCTGAGGAGAGACACATGAAAAGTCGGGTAAATGCGGTAATCAGCAGGGAGTTGCAAATGGTGCATTACCTCATTAACCCTCCTCAGGTCTTTCAACTTCCCCACAAACCGCGGGCTCAGCTTCCGGCAGGGCAAGCGGAGGGGCAGGTTCCGGGTGGAGAGCCAGAGCCGGTCACCTGGAGAGAAAACAGGTGCCTCACTGCGGTGGCGGTCGGCCGACGCACGGCCCCTGGAGATGAGTGTGCGCAGCGTTTCAGATCTCCTCAACGCGCCGAAACCACTCGTCCACCGCAGGGGCCTCAGTCTGGCTCGGATGCCAAGGTGCCAGGGCCGGCTGATACCCCAACACGCACTGGACAGGAGTGAGGTTAGTAGAGGAGTGGCGGAGGGAATTCTGCACGTACTCAGCCCAAGGTAAGAAATCCGGCCACTCCCCCGGCCGGTCCTGACAGTAACACATCAGGAACCTGCCCACTTCCTGATTGACACTCTCCACCTGCCCATTAGCTTCAGGCCGGTACCCAGAGGTGAGACTGACCGTGACCCCCAGGCGTTCCATGAACGCTTTCCATACGCGTGAGGTGAACTGAGGACCACGGTCTGATACAATGTCCTCCGGGATCCCGTAGTGCAGGAAGACGTGCGTAAAAAGAGCCTCCACGGTTTGCATGGCCGACAGGAGCCCAGGCAGAGGAAGGAGGCGACAAGCTTTGGAAAACCGGTCCTCAACGACGAGAACAGTGGTGTTCCCCTGGTGGGGGGGGGGGGGGGGTGTCAGTGAGTCAGTGACAAAGTCCACCAAGAGGTGAGACCAGGGTCTTTGTGGAACCGGCAGGGGAAGGAGCTTTCCATAAGGGAGGTGTCTGGGTGTCTTAGACTGGGCACAGATGGAGCAGGAAGAGATGTAAACCCGAACATCCCTAGCCAAGGTTGGCCACAAGTACTTCTCAGTCAGGCAGGCGATTGTACGGCCTATCCCAGGATGACCCGACACAGGCGCTGTGTGCGCCCAGGAAAGGAGTCGGTCCCGCACACCCGTGGGCACGTAGACGCGGTTCTCCAGGCACTGTGCAGGTGCGGGTTCCGTACGCAGGGCCTGCCGTATGTCGGCGTCCACGTCCCATACCACTGGCGCGATGATACGGAACGGAGGGATGATGGGGGTCTCCTCTTCCTGCCTCTCCTCTGCCTGGGTTGGAGCAGGGGAATTCCCTGGCTTGTCACCTCCTCGCCTATTAGTGGATAGAGCGCAGGTCGGGGAGAAATGACCCCTTTCTCCACCATAGGAGCAGATGCCAAAATTCCTCCTTCTCCTACGCTCTGGCCACGGAGCAGGTGTAGCCATGGGCTCCGGATTCCGTGCAGGTCTTCGTCCGTACCGCAGGAGGTTCTCCAACCGGATCGCCATGCTGATGAGCTGGTCGAGTGACAGGTTGTCATCACGGCAGGCTAACTCCATCTGTACCTCCTCCTGCAGTCCGCTGCGGAAGGCCGGTGGAGGCCGCGATGGTCCAGAACTCCAGGGTGAACTCCGAGGCGGTCCTAGATCCCTGGCGTAGCCGGAGTAGACCCTCACCCCCCTCTCGGCCCTCCACAGGATGATCAAACACCGAGAGGAAGAGGAGGGTGAAGCTCTCGTAGGACTCGACCTCGGGTCCACCCGTTTCCCAAAACGCTGCACCCAAGTCCAGGGCCCGTCCGGTCAGTGCCGAGATGACTGTGGCAACCCTGTCTCTCCCGGAGACAGCCTCGGCGTAGCGAGCGAGGTACAGGTCACATTGCAGAAGGAGTCCCTTGCATCTCGCTGGCTCACCGTCAAAGCGCTCCGGGAAGGACAGGGGTATTCTGTGGACCGGCTCAGATGGAACGGAGGCAGATAGTGGTGGTGTTGGGGCTGGTACCGTAACCAGTGCTGGAGACTGGAGGGACTGCACATTCCCCTCCAACCGCAGGATGGTTGCCAGCACGCTGTTCATGGTGCTGCCTAGTCTGGAGACACAGTCCTCGTGATGCTGGACTGTCTCTACAATGGTCTCCAGCTCTGCCTTTCCCGCTGTCTCCATTTTTATGGGTCGATTATTCTGTCACGTTGTATAATGATAGGAAGACAAGTGCAGGAATACGTATTAGGGGTTTTATTACTCCACCCAACACAAACACGTGTGTGTATATATATATATATATATATATATATATATATATATATATATATATATATATATATATATATATATATATATATATATATATATATATATAAAAGGGATGTAACCCAAACAAAGAGCAAGGTGTAATCTCTACACAATACATGGGACGACACCCGTAAACAACAAGAGCACAATACACGGTACTCACGAGACCAACAGACATGGGACAATAATCGACAAGGACAATGGGGAACAGAGGGCACATATATACACATACTAATCAGGGGGAATGGGAACCAGGTGTGTGTAAAGAGCCAAGACAGTCCGGGGTTGGTGGTAATGATCCATGTCAGTGACGCCTAGAAAGCAGGTGACTTAGACCTCCGGAACTGGTGAACGGAATGAGCAGCAGTACCGGAGGGATCCGTGACAGTGAGAAGAGATTCTCCGTGTAGCATAATGTTTTGACGGCACCAAAAGCTCTTTGTTGTAATGGCGCCAGAGCGGATGGCTGCCGTTTTATCGGCTCTTAACCAACCGTGGTATTTTGTTCGTTTCTTCGCATTGTTTGTAACTTATTTTGTACATAATGTTGCTGCTACTGTCTCTTATGACCGAAAATAGCTTCTGGACATCAGAACAGCGATTACTTACCTTGAACTGGACAAATAATTGTTCTTTAATGAGTCGGGCGAGAGGGATTTGCTCCAGACATCTGACAGGGCCCTCATCCCCGTCATTCGCAGGAGAAAGAGACTGAGATATCGCGGCGGGAGATCAGAGTGCCTGATAAGGAGCCGGCGACGAGTGGCTAATCTGCCTTGGCCATTGGTACTATTGGCCAACGTACAATCGCTGGATAATAAAGTGGACGAACTAAAAGCATGTGTATCCTACCAACGGGACATTAAAAACTGTAATATCTTATGTTTCACCGTGTCGTGGCTGAACAACAACATGAA